AAAAAAGCTGGAAGTGGCGCTGTGGCTCAAGTGGTAGAGTGCTAGCCTTGAGCTGAAGAGCTGAGGGACAGTTCCTAGGCCCAGAGTTCAGGCCCCACGACTGGACCCCCAAAAAAACAAACAAACAAAAAAAACCAACTGATCAATCAAGGTGTCAGTGGCTCACACCTGTAATCCTAGCTACTTAGGACGCTGGGATCTGAGGATGACAGTTCAAAGCCAGCCTGGGCAGGAAAGTCTGTGAGACTCTCTTATGTCCAATAAACTACTCAGAAAAAGTCAAAGTGGTGCCGTGGCTCAAGTAGTAAGCTCAGAAAGGCTCAGGGACAGAGCCTAGGCCCTGAGTTCAAGCCCCAAGACTGGCAGGAAAAAAAAAAAAGAATCAAGGTTTTACTTTACACAAAAGTATATACAAAGCTAGGCACCAGTGGCTCACACCTATAATCCTAGTTACTCAGGAGGCTGAGATCTGAGGATCGTGGTGAAAAGCCAGCCCGGGCAGGAAAGCCCCCAAGAGACTCTTTTCTCCAATAAAACACCAGAAAACGAGAAGTGACACTGTGGCTCAAGTAGTAGAGCACTAGCCTTGAGCTGAAGAGCTGAGGGACAGCACCCAGGCTGAGTTCAAGCCCCATGACCGACCCACCCCTCCAAATAAAAGTGTACAAGTCAAAATATACTTACAAAATATCTCAAATTAAATTTAATAAAATGAACACCACTGGGATTTAAATATCTTACCCTAAGCCTGAATACATACATGAAAAAACTTTAGTGTAGCAGAATAACTAATACTATTATCGTTCTAGACAAGAGAATTTAAATGCTGAGGTTTTTTCTTCTTTATAAACTACTTTACGAACACTTAGCAGCACAGAGGAATCAGACCACAGTCCACATTACCCAATTTATAAGTCATCTCTTGATTCCTTTCCAACACAATGTTTTATAATACCAGAACAACAAAAACTTTGTATACAAACTTCTCTCTACCCCCAGTTGGAAAAAGGAAGAAAGCTCACAAAGGCAAAGGCTAATGGCATATATGACCGCAATGCTAATTAGGGAAGACACCTAAGAATTATACTTACAGGTGGAGAAAGGGCTAATAAATCTTGTATTCTATTCAAAATATCTTCAATGAAAGGATTCATTTGTTTACTAAATAAAGGTGAAAGGGAAAAAAAATCACAAGTCAATAATAATGCTCAAAATTGCTAAAATACCAAATTCCTGTTAAAACTAAAGAAAGAATTCAATTCTAGGATAGCCACATCTGATTAAGATTAGTGTTAGCAATTTAAAAAAAATTCCATCTATCTGCTCTACAATCTTATAAATTAAGCACTTTTCATACTAGAAACTGGTATTAGTAAAGAATACTACAAAACAGATTAAGTGACAAAGCATGTACCAAACAAATAATATGAAAAACCACCAGTTACTGCTAAACAAAGCGCCTGTCTATGGAGCAGACAAAGAAGTCCTAACAGGGCTGGGAAGTTGGCTCAGTGGTAGAATGCTTGCCTCCCAACCATGAGACCCTGGGTTCGATTCCTCAGCACATATAAGAGAGAAAAAAAAGCCAGAATTGGCGCTGTGCCTCAATTAGTAGGGTGCTAGCCTGAGCTGAAGAGCTGAGGGACAGTGCCCAGGCCCAGAGTTCAGCCCCCACGACCGACAAAAGAAAAAACAAACTCATAACAAATAACAAACACATCTTACTATAGAAAGCACATCTTAGAACAGAAAGAACCAAACTGCTCCTAGGCTTTAGAAATTTTATATATCTATTTTATAGTTCTAGAAAAAAAGAACTCTACAAAATAGCTGCAGTTTTATACTTACTTGAGAGATTTGACAAATCTAGAAAACAGGTAAGCAGTTCTGCTTCGTACTTTAGCACTAGAATGTCGCAGGCCCCTGTGATCTAAGAAAGCCATCTAAAGGAACAAATACAGTTTTACTATTTCTACTCTTACTCAAGGTTTTTATTATCTTGCTATATTTTTGTTAAGATCCAATTTTACTCAATAACAGAGAGCAAGAATAGACAATCATTTTATACTACACACAAATAGGCTCTTGAGAACTTGTTTTAAATAATAAATTTCTGACTCTGAGAAAAGTCAGAGGACAGAAAAATACTATCGGAAATATACAGAAAGTGAAAATGCTTATACTTACTAGCACATATGGAATGTGTTGAGGTTCAACTGTGAAAAACTTTTCATATCTAACCACTGTTTCAAAGAACTCCAATGTCACAGATGTATGCTGATAGGAACTGACACCTGATGTTACCAACTGGAATGGAAAAAAAAAATAAGCCTATTCTTATTTGTTACAATATCAAAAGCCCCAGTATAAACATAAACCAAGCTCTAGCAATTAAGGAACTCCCCTAAGCTTATAGTGTAAGCAAAATTATGTTCAAAATAATCTTCAGTATACTTACAGTTCGCATCATATCCTGCAAAGCACTAGCTTTTGAAACATCACCTGAGAAGTGAGCACCATGAGATACTGGAAGAGCTTCTGCCAACATATACAGCAATCTTATTGCTACTTCAACTTCCATAAACCGTGTAGTCTGCCAGTTCCTACCAAGGTGAAACAAGTCAGGAAGATTATAAACATAATTGTTATATACAACTAGTAATGCACGAGAGTAACACACCATCAAAACCCTCTTTAGCCAGGTGCCAGTTGTTCATGCTTGTAATCCTAGCTACTCAGGAAGCTGAAATCTGAGGATCTCAAATCAAAGCAGCCTGGGTAGGAAAGTCCGTGAGAATCTTATCTCTAATAAACCATTAGAAAACAGGAAGTGGCGCTGTAACTCATGGTATAGTGCTCACCTTGAGCTGAAGAGCTCAGGGACAGTGCCCAAGTCCAGAGTTCAAGCCCTACCACCAACCAAAAAAACAACCTCTTTAATGATTAAAAGGCTATACTATATATTAATTTCACCAAGTCATATAATTTATATCATAAAAGGAGAAAGACCAAAATAAATTACTGAAATAAAGGAAGTAGTTTCCAGAGGTATATGTAAATAATGGATTAATAAGTCAGATAAGGCACTTTATTTTAAATCATCATCAGGGATCAAAGGAAAAAGTGGGTGTGTTACAAAAACAATAAAACTTACTGCAGTGTAGAACTAAAAACTCTGCGCACAGAAGCCAACAGTAACTCTGGTGACACTTGAGCAAGTCTGTCCAACAATAACTTCAGTTGTTTTCTATATTCTACGAACATGGCTTCATCTTCACCCTAAATAACAAGATAAAGTCATCCTTTAAAAAAATTTAAGACCTATGCCAGGAGTAGTGGCTAATGCCCATAATCCTAGCTACTCAGGAGTTTAAGAGCTGAAGATCGTGGTTCAAAGCCACCTGAGCAAGAAAGTCTGTGAGATCCTTCTTTCTAATAAAACACTCAGAAAACCAGAAGTGGTGCCTTGGCTCAAGTGGTAGAGCCCTAGCCTTGAGCTGAAGAGCTGCGGGACAGCACCCAGGCCCAGAGTTCAAGCCCCACAACCGACCCAAAAAATAACAATAATAAGGCCTAGAGTAGTGGAACTGGGGAAGCTAAAGCTACCTTCAGTAGTGAAAAGTCAGCCTGGACCTTACCTAAAAATACCAAAATAAAGAAATTTAACCTTTCTTGTTTTGTAAATTTAAGATCTTACAATAGTTCTGTAGTTTTCTGAACTTCTAAATCTTCAATTACTGATCTCTATTTATATATGAAAATCTCTATGCTTAGTACCTTGTCTTCCTTTTGCAAGTACTCTTCACACAGCCCCAGAACTCAAAGCCACAGCAGGAAGTGGTGGTTACGGTTGACATTGTGGAGCCAGAATGAGTTTACCTTGGGCTTTGAGACTTCTACCATCTTTTTTATTTGCCTTTCACCTCAAAATGTGGCAATAGTATTGTATGAAGTATTAGATATGAAGTATTAGAACCCCAGTACATCCTAAGTTCACTGTGTTCATCTTCATCACCATTATCCTTTTACAGACCAAAAGTTCTAAATTCTTGAAGTGAGAAACAATATACTTTAGCATACATCGAAACAGCAAGTGCCATGACTGAAATTCCAGGAAGCACCCTACAACCCTTTTGCCTGATGAGAAGCTGACCGCATAACTCTGGAAGACTTTTAACTAAAACAAATCCAGTGAGTTAAGCCAATTTTCTACCATCCCCTACAGACTGAAGATTAGAGACCAAATGATGGGGCTTCAAGTCATCAATCCTATTAAATATGAAGTTAAATATAATTATGGATAATATAGTCACTATTTTACTAAGTTCAATGCTATAAAGTAGTTTTGTCTTTGTAGTCCTAGGGATTGAACTTGTCTCTTTGTGAGCCTTACCATAGTAGACAAGCATTCTACTACTAAGCTATACTCCTAGCCTTACAAAATTTGGTATGTATGTATGTATGTATGCTATGAAGTGTTTTTTGAAAGGGTTGTTAAGCTGGTTTCTATAATCCTATCTACTCAGTAGGCCTAGACCTTGAGGATCTCAGTTCAAAGCCAGCCTCAACAGAGAAGATCTTGAGACCATATTTATTAACCAGCAAAATGACAGACTAAAGGCCAGGCCCAAACGGTAGAGTGCCAATCACGAACAAGAAAGTTAAGATAAAAAAAGCACTGTAGGGCTGGGAAGGTGGCTCAGTGGTAGAGCGCTTGCCTTGCATGCATGAGGCCCTGGGTTCGATTCCTCAGCACCACATAAGCAAAAAGAAAAAAGCTGGAAGTGGCGCTGTGGCCAAGTGGTAGAGCGCTACCCTTGAGCTGAAGAGCTGAGGGACAGCGCCCCGGCCCAGAATTCAGGCCCCACGACAGGACCCCCCCCCGCAAAAAAAAGCACTGTATTGAAGCCCTGGTTCCAGCACCAAACCAAACCAAACAAAAAAATCAAAAGTCAAAGATTAAGGGGCATCTATAATTTTAACCAAAACAGACATCAACATAAACCAGACTATATTAACTGATTTTTTCAAATGCTATTTTTTTAAAGAGTTCCAAATGACAAAAATATGAAACATTACTTGGATATACAGAAACGATGAAAATGAATTTCTGAAGCAAAAATTCTTACCTCATTTTCAAAGTTATATTCTTCATCATAAGTCAATTTTTTCATAACGGCCAACATGATTGCCTAAAATTAAGAATAAAATAGCTTTTGTTAACCAGTTTCCTTTCATTTAAAATTAGCTACATTTCAAGGCAGATTCTTGACAAAGAATCTCATTAGTTTAAAAAAAAGAGCATAAAGAAGCTAATTACCTCTACATTAGTTTTTTGCTGATCCGAAAGCACTGTAAGCTGTTAAAAAATAAGCAAAGCTTATTAGCATTCCTGAAGTTATGGTTGCTAAGAGAATATTTTTCTAATAAATTAAAATCTAAAACATACATTTCTGATTGCAGTATGGTAGCACCTTTCTATATTTAAAATATACCTAACCTAAGATCTACTAATTCTAGGGGCTGGGAAGGTGGCTCATGGTAGAGCACTTGCCTTGCATGCCTGAGGCCCTGGGTTCGATTCCTCAGCACCACATAAGCAAAAAGAAAAAAGCCGGAAGTGGCGCTGTGGCTCAAGTGGTAGAGTGCTAGCCTTGAGCTGAAGAGCTGAGGGACAGTGCCCAGGCCCAGAGTTCAGGCCCTACGACCAGACTAAAAAAAAAAAAAAAAAGATCTACTAATTCTAATTCTAGTAAATAACTTGTCAAAAGGCATTTTAAAAGATATTACGAAGTATTCAACATAGGAACATATTATGAGAGTAAAGGATGGACTCATCTTTTTTTTTTGTCAGTTATGGGGCTTGAACTCTGGGCCTGGGCACCGTCCCTCAGTTCTTTAGCTCAAGGCTAGTGCCCTACCACTTAAGCCATGGCGTCACTTCCGGTTCTCTGGTGGTTTATTAGAGATCAGAGTCTCATGGACTTTCCTGCCCAGCCTGGCTTTGAACCACAATCCTCAGATCTCAGCCTTCTGTGAGGAGCTAGGATTACAGGCATGAACCTCCAGCACCTGGCTGGACTCATCTTTTTTTAAACAAAACTTACAGATCTATTAGAACACAATGCAATAACCAAGTTATAACCAAATTGTCTATATTGCCTAAAATCTCTTAAAGTATGCATTTCAGGCAAGTGTTTTATTTATAGAAATAGTTTTATGTGGCTGGGAAGGTGACTCAGTGGTAGAGCGCTTGCCTTGCATGCCTGAGGCCCTGGGTTCAATTCCCCAGTACCACATAAGCAAAAAGAAAAAAGCCTGAAGTGGCGCTATGGCTCAAGTGGTAGAGCTTGAGCTGAAGAGCTGAGGGACAGCGCCCAGGCCCAAAGTTCAGACCCCACAACCGGACCCAAAAAAAAAAGAAATGATGTATAAAGTTAAAACAACAATATGCAACTAACTTTCCACTATATTTTCAAGTAAATACAGACTTAACTGGAAAGATAACCTGACTATAACTCAAAAACTTATTAGTCCAGTGAATTGTAGAAGTCACTTTTGTCTTCTGGCTAAGAAGTTTTGGGGGTTTTTTGGGGAAAAAAATAAACACACAAACAGAAGGAAGTATATTAATAACAGTGAATATCTTTGGTTCTATTACAACTATGATGTTTACTGATTTTCAATTTTCTTGTATTTTCCAATTTTCCATGGCTCCTTTCTATTATCCACTGGACTAAAAGACTAAAAAATGGACTTACCTGTTTCAAAATATGAAGATAATCATAACAAAATCCAATAATGTTAGAGGAAATGTCATCATCCTCATGAATTAATAGCTGTAACATGAGCGCCACTTTTGTTTCAATTGCTTGTAGTGCCTCTTGAGCATTTTTTATATCTCCATTCTTAATTAGTTTAGTCCAGCTAACTATCAATGACTGTCCCATTCCATTTACCAGCTTAGAAAATCTAGCCAGGAAGTCTACATCTTCTTCCTATGAACAATCAAGAAGGACCTCAATTTAGAACAATTTATTCCAAGCACAAGAGGGAAATTAACTTTAGAATGAATTTAATACCAACTGCAGGGTTCAAGCTAAAACTGACATTAGACATTTTGTGAAATTCCACCATTGCAACTGAGGAAACTTCAGAATCTACTATTATCATCTACCAGTAAAAAATCATTACTTTTAAGGATACAGTCCAGCAGACATTACCATATATATAAAAGCTTTAAAAAAAAAAAAGTAGTTTTACAACCCTCTCTTCCCTAAGCTCTTGAATTTAAGTTAATGATACTTCAACAATCTTTTCTGATATGACTTTATTTAGGCCTCAACTATCCTGGGGACATAAAACCTCTTTTATAATAACCTGCCTTGAGTCATAAGCGTGAAAGATAGAACTCAACTTTAAGATATTGTTTCCATTTATTATCTTTAAGCTGTCTCCTACAGAAAGGGTCTAACTTCACTAGTACAGATTTTTTTCTTTTAATCCAGGGATGATACAATACAATTAGCAGAAAGGTAAGAAAATGTTATAATTTATGAAGGAAAACATTAAAGCTTTATATCAAGAATACAAATATGTCTTAGAAATTATATTTGCCACTAGGCGCTGGTAGCTCACACATGTAATCCTAGCTACTCAGGAGCATGAGATCTGAGGATCACAATTCAAAGCCAGCATGGGCAGGAAAATCCATGAGACTCTTATCTCCAATAAACCACTAGGAAAACCAGAAGTGGCACTGTGGCTCTAGAGGTAGAGCCACTGTGCCTTGAGCTGAAGAGCTGAGGGCCAGCTCCCAGGCTCAGAGTTCAAGCTCCACAACTGACAAAAAAAAAAAAAATTATTTATTAAGATATAAAATTTAATGTGTATGAGGACTTGGGTTTCATTTTTAGCACCCTTCAAAAAACAGTAACAGCCAGGCCAGTGGCTCATGCCTATAATCCTAGCTACTCAGGAGGCTGAGATCTGAGGATCAGGGTTCAAACCCAGCCAGGGCGGGAAAGTCCATGAGACTCTTATCTCCAATAAGCCACAAGAAAAGAAGTGGCACTGTGGCTCAAGTGGCAGAGTGCTAGCCTTGAGCTGAAGAACTAAGGGCCAGCGTTCAGGCCCCATAACTGACAAAGAAGAAAAAAAAAACCTACAGCAACAAAAAAAAAAGTCTTCAATTTATCTACCAATTCACTATACTAGAACCATCCCTTAAAGCTAACTTTACAGTTCAATAGTTAAAATTCATTCAAACTGGGCTGGGAAGGTGGCTCAGTGGTACAGTGCTTGCCTTGCATGCATGAGGCCCTAGGTTTGATTCCTCAGCACCACATAAACAGAAAAAAACAGAAGTGAAGCCGGGCGCTGGTGGCTCACGCCTGTAATCCTAGCTACTCAGGAGGCTGAGATCTGAGGATCACGGTTCAAAGCCAGCCCGGGCAGGAGAGACCGTG